CCTTCGTATCTTTAGAAAAAACCACTTCTTCAAAGAAGGCCACTCGGACTACCCCTACCCTTCCAGGTCATGTCCCTTCTACATACTGTCACAGCACCCTACTCTTTTCCTTCATTGCACTTAGTAAATGTTTATAACCACAGTTTTATTTCTATAATTATTTAATATCTGCCTTCTCTATCAGACTACTAGGCACCATAAAAATAGAGACTGTATCTGTTTTGGTCATCACCTAACACCTGACATAAAGTAGGAAGACAATTTAAATGGTTAGGGGAACCTGGGCAGCTCAGTTAGTTAAGCCTCTGACTTTGGCTCAGGTCGTGATCTCAGGGTCCTGGGATCGAGCCTCAAGTAGGGCTCAGCACTCAGCAGGGAGTCTGTTTCTCCCTCTCCCTCTGCCCCTTCCCCTACTTGTGTTCTCTCTCTCTCTCAAATAAATAAAATCTTCGAAATCTTTAAAAGGTTAAAAGCTGGGGTGCCTGGGTGGCTCAGTCGTTAAGCATCTGCCTTCAGCTCAGGTCATGATCCCAGCATCCTGGGATAGAGCCCCGCATAGGGCTCCCTGCTCAGCGGGAAACCTGCTTCTCCCTCTCCCACTCCCCCTGCTTGTGTTCCCTCTCTCGCTGGGTCTCTCTCTGTCAAATAAATAAATAAAATCTTTGAAAAAAAATAAATAAAAGGTTAAAAGCTTTGTCACTACTATAGGTATTTTTTACCTTTTACTATAAATATACAACAGGAAGTTTTTACCACTGTGTTCAACCACTTTGGAATCCAGACTCAAGACCTTCTTCCTTGGGATATCGCTCAAAGAATACACTAGGAAAATGATTAATGATGGTTGCCTCTGAAATGATTAGCCAGGAGAAAGGAGAGGGAGAGACTTTGTACTGTACATCCTTTTGTGCCCTCATAATTAACTAAAATGATTATTTTTTGAGACTTCAGGCGCCTGGGTGGTTCAGTTGGTTAAGCATCCGACTCTTGATTTAGGCTCAGGTCATGATCACAGGGCTGTTGAGATTGCGACCTATGCTGGGCATGGAGTCTGCTTAAGATTCTCTCACTCCCTCTGCCCCTACCCCGCTTCCTCTCTTAAAAAAAAAAGAAGAAAAGAAAAGAAAAGGAAAAAAAGAGCCTTCTAGTACCTAAAAGTACTATCCCTAGGGCACCTGGGTGGCTCAGTCAGTTAAGCATCTGCCTTTGCTCAGGTCATGATCCCAGAGTCCTGGGATCGAGCCCCGAGTCAGGCTCCCTGCTCCTCAGGGAGTCTGTCTGTGTCTCCCTCTGCCTCTGCCTCTCTCTCTCTCATGAATGAATACATAAAATCTTTAAAAAAAATAAAATTACTATACCTAATATCCCATTTTCTAGATCTTAGATTCTACCCAGAAAATATAACTTTTAAATTATACTACCTGAAGAGATAGTAGGCAGGATCTACAAGTGAGCAGGATTTACCTATTTATAATAACATGTACAATAATCTATTTTAATGTGAATGCAAACTCATTTGTAACTCATTAAACTTAACTATGATTAAATTTATAACATATTAAATTTAACTCACCAACATATCACAGATGAAAGCAAAAACTCACCTCGAACTTGAATTTTATTTTCTAGAGCATTACCCTGTAAGTTCAGGCATTAATAGGAAGAATCACAGCTTCACAGAAAATGTACACCCCTTCACTTCAAACTGTCAAAACTCTCCAAAAAATGGAGAGCCACGTATAATATTAAGTTAAAGGAAAAGACTTAACTATTATGTGAAAAGCACTATGCTAGGGATTTCACATATATTATCCCTTTTAATCTTCACAAAAACCTGAACCCAAATCTATCCCATCCCAAAGGCCATTATTCTACCACACCATCTGCCTTTCCTGCCTAAAGAGACATATAACTATTAATACAAGGTAATAAGGCAAAAATGTATATGAACATAGACATCTTTTGCTTTATTCAATATAAATAAGGGCTGTTTACTAGTATCTTTTTTTTTTTAAAGATTTTATTTATTTATTTGACAGATAGAAACATAGCGAGAGAGGGAACACAAGCAGTGCGAGAGGGAGAAGCAGGCTTCCCACCGAGCAGGGAGCCTAAGGTGGGTGGGGCTCAATCCCAGGACCCTGGGACCATGACCTGGGCCGAAGGAAGACGCTTAACGACTGAGCCACCCAGGCGCCCCTGTATGCTAGTATCTTATGAAATCAAGTTGGTACAGGAAATTTTCACCAATATTCAAAATACACACATCATCTTGTTTTTCCCCCTACCCTGTTTGTTGATTCTTGCAAAGAATTTAAAAAGACTCTCCAAAATCGATCAGCTTCACAAAATAAAGTCCCAAAATAAAATTCAAAATTAGAAATGTTATGTTAGAAATGTAGTATTAGTGGGTAGCCCGCTTTACCCAAAACACTTTTCACATACATTCTTTCCTTTAATCCTCACAAGGAGTCTACTGCTATTCTACAGAGAAAGAACCTAAACTAAGGCTCTCAAAGGCTAAATGAGACCTAGCCAACCAAGAATCCAAGAATCTGAACCCAAGTCTCTGATACCACAGCCCATTCTTTTCATCTCACCATGCTGCCTCTCTGGTTTAAAGGAATCAAACAATTTTTCTTGTGACAAGAAAATCTGACTATAGAACAAAGAGAGCAAACTGTTTTTTAAAAAATTGTCACAAATTTCATCAAACATCCGTTTTTTGATAGATAAATTACTGGTATGCTACATGAAACAGGGGTAACCATTCCAATTCGAAATAATCTTGTTATCTTAGTAAATAAAAAATATTAAGTCCACATCTGACTTGTTTCATCTTTCATAAATTTATATTATATCAAATATAAATAAGCCTAGAAGGGAAAATGGAAAGAACAGTTATGTTAGGATGGTAGGATTTTATATAGGGATGTTTTCTATTTTAAAAAATTTTCCTTTAAGGGTACCTGGGTGGCTCAGTTGGTTAAGCGACTGCCTTTGGCTCAGGTCATGATCCTGGAGTCCTGGGATGGAGTCCTGCATGGGGCTCCCTGCTCAGTGGGGAATCTGTTTCTCCCTCTGACCCTCCCCCCCTCTCATGCTCTCTCTCTCTCTCAAATAAAATCTTTAAAAATAAATATTTCCTTTAAAATTGTTTTAATAAGGTAACACCTTTTTTAACTGCCATTACAAATATCTCTACTATATATCAGTACTTAATAAAGATACAAAACAATCATTAATTGGCAAGTATAACTTTTTATTTTTTAAAGATTTTATTTATTTATTTGAGAGAGAGAGACAAAGATAGCCACAGAGAGCACAAGCGAGCACAAGCTGGGAGGAGAGGGAGAAGCAGGCTCCCCACCGAGCAAGGAACCCAGTGCGGGATTTGATCCCTGGACCCGGGGATCATGACCAAAGCCGAAGACAGACGCTTAATTGACTGAGCCACCCAGGTGCCCCAGCGAGTGTAACTTTTTTAAAAAACCGAAAGTAATTCTCAGGTAATAAAGACCCTCTAATGAAATCTATAAATACTCAAAAATCTACTTTACTTTTCTATGAATCCTGCTAAAATAAGTATCAACAGGGGGGCTAGGTTATTATGCATTCAAAGTTTGTTATTAACAAAAACTAGTTGACATGAATGGGCCATTAATAAATTGTGATTTGGGGTTGGGGGGATGGGTTAACTGATGAATCACTAAATTCTACCCTTGAAACTAATACTATACTACATGTTAACTAATTTGAATTCAAATAAAATCTTGAAAGAAAACAAAAATAAAAAATAGTGATTTGAAACTTTGTTTATAAGGATTTTTATCCTAAGATTTTTATTGTCTTATGGGATTTATAACTAAGAATTATTAATTTATTAATTCATCTTCATTAATTATTCATTTAAAAATGAAAACAATTAAAAATACTTTGTCAGTTTAGGGGTGCCTGGGTGGCTCAATTGGTTAAGCGGCTGCCTTCGGCTCGGGTCATGATCCCTGGGTCCTGGGATTGGATCGAGCCCCAAGACAGGTTTCCCTGCTCAGCAAGGAGTCTGCTTCTCCCCCACCACCACCCACTCACACTTGCCTGCACATACTCTCTCTCTAATAAATATATCTTAAAGAAAAAAATACTTTGTCCATTTAGTAATAACAATCTTTATTGCCACCTCAACGAAATTAAGATAATTATACAAAATTTTAAGTCAACATCTCATTTTCTAATTACCTCAAAATGGCATTAAAACAAATATAGAAAATCTGAGTTTTCATTTACTTACTATCAGAATTCAAAATTGTAAATAATATAAACAGTAAAAACCAAATGTGTTCTGTATTCAGAATGGTTAAAGAGGAAAAATAGCATTAACAGCCAATCTAGTAATGAATTCTTTTACATTTTCACACAAATTCTACATTAAAACCTCTGAATAAAATTGTTTAAACTCCAAATTACTAAATCTGTTTCTACTGTTCCAAAAATATGCTACGTAAGTAACACCCAATTTATAGCCTCCAAACTGAAATTTACAAAGCAATCATTTGCTTTAAGGAAAGTATAATGTCATATGAGTTAATACTAATGAAGAAAGGGGCAGTTGGAAACTGTTCATCATCTTCTGTATTTTCATGTTTATTTCAAGTTAATTTCTTGGTCCAGAAACAGGTACCTTTAAAGAAGTATTTGTATTTTCCTAGTTCATAAGATATTTTGAAAATAAATCAAGCAAGCTATGGGTTAAATTAGTATTCCCTAATTCCTATTCATTCAACAAACATATATTTGTGTCATCACAATTATCATTACAGGAATTACTTCACCTACCAGTGTTTATATCTCAGAAAAGTGTAAATCCAAAACTGGAGAAACTTTTTAAAAGATAATTTTAAAACTCACTAGAGAAAAGTCTACACAAACGGAAGTCTGCAAATGGTTGAAAACAGATGTCACCACAGCAACCCCAAAAGAAGATGATGAAGGGATGTACTTACGTTTCAAAACAACGATCCACGTTGTCAGACATCAAAAGCAGCATGCATAGCTGTTCAAGGGCTATTAGTTGCATATCCCTTTCATCTCCCTGTCCCATCTGTAGCCATTCCAGCAATGTATCAGGATCCACATCTGCCATGGTTTTTTAAAAGCCTCTTTGCTTAAATTAAAAAAGTAAAAGGAAAAAGTCCTTTAAATATCCAGGGCTGATCAGCTTGGGTTTAAAAAATTTTCTTTTACATCGGCTAGAACCAAATGTTCTTGGTGTCCTCCTAGGAATCAGAAAAGACTCATAAGTATGTTTGAGAGAGTACTTTAATGCAGTTTTTCAACTTTATTTCTCTAGTTTAACATTCATATATCATACTAAATAAAAATCAGTTTTGCGCTAGAGTATAAGCTGATTAGGTTGCTACTTAACTGAAAACCAGAGCTGTCTTTGTCAAACACAGTCAAGCTTCAGATCCCACTACTGCTATCACCAACGTCTGTGCCAAAAGGCAGAGACACCTTACTAAAGGTTCTTTTTTTTTTCCCAGCAAACTTCTTACCCCATCCTCCACCCAAAACTGATCTTCAGATATGTGTTAGATTCCGTATTTTGAGGAGATGATTCTAAGCACTGTGTCCAATCCCCCTTCAAACTAAGTTTCTGCTTTAAAATGATCTCCAGGGGCGCCTGGGTGGCTTAGTCGCTTAAGCGACTGCCTTCGGCTCAGGTCATGATCCTGGAGTCCCGGGATCGAGTCCCGCATCGGG